CTGATGTTGAGTTATTCAGGATTTCTGTATCTTCTTCATTCAGCTTTGGTAACCGCTGTGTATCTAGAATCTGTTCATTTCCATCCTTGAGAGTAAAGATTTTTGAAGTAGGTATTGATGATCTGAATTTCTATAGAATCCGTAGTGAATTCATCTTTTTCATTACTTACTGCATGAATTTGAGTTTTTTATTTCCTTTTTTTGATAAGGTTGGCCAGGGTATATCAATTTTATTCTTTCAAAGAACCAACTCTTCAATTCATTAATTCTTTATATTGTTTTCTTAGTCTCCATTGTGTTAATTTCTGTTCTGGTCTTTATAATTTCCTGCCTTCTTTGGTCTTTGGGCTTGACTTGCTGTTCTTTTTTCCAGAAGCTTGAGGTGTAGCATAAGACTTTATTTTTGCTCATTTGGTTTTCCTGATGTGGGAGTTCGCTGCTATAAATTTCCCTCTGAGTACTGCTTTCATTGCGTCCCACAGGTTCTGGTAAGTTTTATCTGCATTTTTGTTTGATTGTAAATATTGTTTAATTTCTTCTTTAATTTCATTTGTGACCCACTGGTTGTTCAGGAGGCTGTTGTTTTATTTGCATGTGTTTATGGAGTTTTGTGATTTCTTTTGTCAGTAATTCTCAATTTCATTGCACTATTCTCAGATAAGTATGCATGTGATAATTTCAGTTCTGTGCATTTCCTTAAGTATGTTCTATGTGCTAGTATATTGTCTATTTTAGAGAATGTCTCATGTGCAGCTGAGAAAAATTTGTATTTTGATGCTGTTGGGTGGAATGCTCTCTAAAGGTTTACTAAGTCCATTTGTTCACCCATTTGGTTTAGCTGTGTTATTTCTTTGCTGATTTTTTTGTCTAGTTGATCTGTCTCTTTGTGACGGAGTGTTAAAATCCCCCATGATGATTGTGTTACTGTTTATTTGATATTTCACCTGTTAAAATTTCTCTTATATAGTTTGGTGCTCCTGTATTTGGTGCATAGATATTTATGATTGTTATCCCTTCCTCTTGCAGTTTTCCCCTAACAAGTATGTACTGACCTTTCTCTTTTCTGATCATTCTTGGTTTGAATTTCACCTTGTCTGCAAACAGAATAAATACCCTTGCTTTTTTCTGGGTTCCTGTTGCATGGAATATTGTTTTCTAGCCTTTGACTTTCAGTCTACAAATTTCCTCTTGAGTTAAATGTGTTTCTTGTATACAGTATATTGTTGGATTTTGTTTCTTGATTCACTCTGCCAGTTTGCTTCTTTTACATTGATGATTATAACTGATATGTACTGGCTTATCTTTGTCATGTTATTTTCCTGCTGTGGGTTCTTCCATTTTCCCCTCTGTTTAATTGCTTGCCCTGCTTGGTGGTTGTTTTCTATTGTTGTTCTTAAAATTGTGGTTATATTTATCTCTAGAATATGTTTTAGGACTCTTTGTAGGGTTGGTTTGGCACTCATGAATTTCTTCAGGTGTTCTTCATCCTGGACATACAGTATTTCTCCATTCATTTTGAAGAATAGTTTTTCAGTATACATCAGTCTGGGTTGGAAATTGTTTTCTTTCAGGACCTGAAACACTTCACACTAAGCTCTTCTTGACTCTATGGTTTGTGTTGAGAAATCTGCTGTGATTCTTATGGGCTTTCCTTTATAGATGATCTATTTCTTTTCTCTCCCAGCTTTTAATATTCTGTTCTTTTGTTGAATTTCTGGAATCTTGATTATTACATGTCTGGGTGTAGATTTATTTTGGTTATGGCTAATTGGAGTTCTATATGCATCACTTACTGTATGTCAGATTCTTTATCCATGCTTGGGAAATTTTGTGCTGTTTTTTCCGCAAATGTTTTTATGTCATTTGTGTTGACTGTTGTTTTGCTGATACTTGTTAATCTTACATTATTTTTCTTTGCATAATCTTGCAGCTGTTGAGTTGTTATTTCCTGGTTCCTTGTTAATTTTAAGAGATCCTTCCTTTTACAATTGTTATCTGCAATGTTCTCTTGAAGGTCTCAAAGTCTGTCTTCAGCTTTGTTCAAGTGATTTTGCCAGCTTTCAATGGAATTTTTAATTTCCTGGCTATCTCTTTGAATCTGTTTGATGCATTACAATTCTTTCCTTTATTTTTCATTCAAGGTTTCCATCATTTTTCTGTGCTTCTCTATTTTTCATCTGTGTCTTCTTTAGAGGTGCTAAGCAGTTCTTTCCTTTTTGTTGTCATTTCTTTACCTGAGAGATTAGTTCTGATATGATGTCTTCTATGGCCTGATGAAGTTGTTTCTTTACTTCAGTTGCTATCATTTCAGAAATTTTAGCTGTATGACTTCGAGGCTCTTCTGTGTGGATGTCTCCTGGACTTGTTTTGGGTGGTGTGGAGGTCTGTGATTGCATTTTGCTCCTTCGTTTTGTCATTTTCAAAGATCGGAAGGTTTTCTGGGACACAGCCTCAGTCCCACGATGGTTTGTGGGGGCAGGTTGTGGTTGCTGATGCTCCTGAAGCTTTCTGGCACTCAGCCTGGCTCCCATGCTAGTGGGGGAGAGGTACAGATTCATTTTTAAAAATTGAACAGTTTTACAAATTGCTAAACTAATTAAACCCTTCTCTAGTGGATCAGCCAGGTTTTTTTTTTGAAGTTGTTTTTTTTTTTTTTTTTTTTTTTTTTTTTTTTTTTTTTTTCAGTACCGGAGATTGAACTCATGGCCTTGCACTTGCCAGGCAAGTGCTTTGCCAATCAGCCAGTTTTGAAATCATTCAGCCACCATCATTAGACTCACATTTTTCTGTCTTGTTCAGAACAGCCTCTCAGTGCACAACTCTTCCCAGAATTTGTGTGTTATCAAGGCATCCCTTGACCTTCTCTCAGAGGGACCCTATTGAACATGGGATGAGGTTAGACACGTGGTTTTAGTGAGCTGCTGATGTTTACTGCTTTTTTTGTGGTTGTGCAGATTTGTTTTTATTTACTGGGATTTAGGGCACGGGGTGGGAAATGTCACCTTGGGGCACGCCCCACTCCCACCACCCGTGGAATATCCATTCTGATCTTTCTGGGATGTTCTTTGAAGCTTTTTCTTCTTTTGCTTAGCACTGCCCTTGCTGGCAGCAGCCTCCTCGGGCCCACTGCTGACTGGCTCTTCCTTGGAAGAAAATTTTCTCTTAGAGATACTCCTGGCTGCCTCTTCTGGTTCACGAGCTGTTTCTTCCTTGGGTAAAGACTTCCTCTTCTTGGGCAGACTTACATTGCCACCGGCTGTCTCTTCTAAATCCATACTAATCAACTCTGCCTTGGACAAAAATTTTCTTTTTGTTGAGTTTGGAGACAGAGACAGATGGATCATTCTGTTCTCCTGAGGAGCCTCCTGGAGTTCTTGCTTTTTTTCTTTTTGGGTTTTTCCTGTCTCTTCGTGCTCCTCTGGAGTACTGTTGCTGTTTTCTGAAGATGCCAGAGCGGCCAGTGCAGCCAGCTTCTTTTCCTCCTTTTCCTTCTTCAAGTGCATCCTGTCCCATTTTCCAGCTTCCTGGTGATTTCAGCAGCGGCTTCCTCGGCCTGAACCATTGCCTCCTTCATGACATCCAGATTTTTCCATGGAACCTCTCCAGTCTTGTAGAAAGGCAGGTGCTGCTCAACTTGTTCTTGATGCTTCTCCCCAAATACACTGGTGGGCAGCGTTGTTTGGCAGGTACTGGGAGATGCAGACTGTTGTTGGCAGCTGCTTCGCCAGTGAAGGTGGAGTGGAAAGGGAGTCCATGTTCTGGCGTGCTAGCCTTGTCTTCGGGGATCGGGAAATCTCATCCCTTTGCTGGGTCTTAGGGATCACTCAGACACCAGGACTGGCCGTCACTGCTTTTTTGTTGCTTTGTTTTCTTACTTAGTTTATATTTCACTCAATCTAAATTCTCCTTGAATATATTTTTTGTTTATGTCTATTAATTTTACAAAATACTGGGTTTTTTTTTTTTGCGATACTGAAAATTGAATCTAGGCCCTTTTCACTAAAACAAATCCTTAGCCCTTTTTAAATTTTTAATTTTGAGACAGGGTCTCCCTAAGTTGCCCAGGCTTGACTTGAACTTGTGATCTTCTTGCCTCAGTCTCCCAGGGTGCTGGGCTTACAGATGAATGTTACCACGCTTGGCTAAATACTGGGTTTCAGTGTGGTATTTTCATACATGCTTATATTTTGCTCATATCTATTCCTCTGTTGCCCTCACTCATCTCCCCTCATTCCCTTCCTCTTAGCAATAGGCTCTTTTCTACTTTCTTGCTTTTTGTGTTTTTTTTTTTTTTCCAGTACTGGGAATCGAGCTCATGACCTCACGCTTGCCAGGCAGGCACTGTGCCGCTGAGCTAAATCCCCAGCCCCTCTACTTTCATGTTATCTGACTCCACATTTTTTTTTTTTTTTTTTTTTTTTTTTGGTTTTTCTCCAGTACCGGGAACCGAACTCACAACCTTGCACTTGCCAGGCAGGCACTTTGCCGCTGAGCTAAATCCCCAGCCCCCTGACTCCACATTTCATGAAAACGTGTGACTTGTCTTTCTGTACCTAGCTTATTTCACTAAAGTTGGTGTTATGGTTTGTGTCTGGGTGTCCCCCTAAAGCCTCATGCAGTCATGGGGCAGGCTTCTAGAGTTTGTGATTGATCCAGGGTCCAATGCTGGGACTATGGGTGTGAGTGCTGCACCCGCCCTGGGGTGGGCAGCCTGCCTACAATGTAAGGGAGGGAAAGAGGCTTGCTCTTCCCACTGCCACTCCTCCCTTTTGCTCTTGCTGCTTTTGCTGTGTTCCACCGCCATGAACTGTTGCCCTGTGCCCTGTGCCCTGTGCCACCGTGCCTCGGAGCCAGCCGAGTATGGACTGGAACCTCCGCCCACTGTGAACTAAATAAACTTTTCCTTCCTTCATTTTGGGTGTTTGGGTAGTTTTTCTCAGCAAGGAAAGAAAAGTAACTGAGACACTTGGTAATCTCTAGTTCTATCCATTTTCTTGCAGATGACATAATACTGTTCTTTTTGGCTGAATAATACTCCATTGTGTAAGTATATCGCATTTTTTTTTATCCCCTTATCTGCTGATGGACACCTTGGCTTGTTCCATGTCTTGGCTGGTGTGAATTGTATCATAACCAACATGGATATTCAAATATTCCTATACTCTGCTGACTTTAATTCCTTTGGCTATTGAACAGGTCACTGCTTTTGTGTCCTGAGTGTTTATTAATATTTCTAGAAGCTCAGCAACTTATTCAGGGTTATTTGACATATAAATTCATTAACATTATTCCCTTCAGTGCATTTCTGATTGCTGAAAAGTGACCTAGCAGGGGAAGTTACTGGTAACTGGGTGAGAACTGGGAAGAGCTGAGAGTGGTTTGCATGGAGAGTGAATGATACCTATATTGAGGATTTTCCTTTATTCAAAGGTTCTGGTTCAGCTCTGACTACTCTTCACCTTGGGGAAGTACAGAAGTGCTGCTCCACATAGGGAAAGTATAAAGGTACAGTTCAGTAGCGTAAAACGAGTAAGGAGGGAAGCATTGTAGTGCAGCGGTTACAAGACTGCACTTTGGGACAAGGACTCCTGGGGTCCCACGGCTGTCCTGACGGCTCTGAGACCCTGGGGAGCAGGTCACCAAATCTCGGGCACCTTAGCTGGGAGATAAATGTCATAACCCTGGTGATTACTCCAGAAGATTGTTTTAATCATTACACAAATAGAAATATGAAAAAAAATGCTACTGTGGTGCCAGGACCAAGCAAGCGATATTGCTAAAGTTATGAAGAGCTAGGAGAAGTTAAAGTAGAGAACAAATTCTTTTTAATGTTGAGCTTCTGTTTGCCCCAACAGAGTAAAGCATATTTTATTTTTAGGCATTACTAAATTTGGCAAATGTAGCAGTTACTGTTCAGTTACTAAATAAAATTTGATTCCCTTTATATGTCCAGCTATGCTTCAGAATAAGTAGAAAGATATAGCCTTATCAAATATGTACAGTCCTCAAATAAAGTAGCCTGATGCCGTTGTAATATCCTGAAGTTCACTTGGCAGACATTGATGTATTCTGTTCTTCAATTGCTAGAGGTGCCTGCTGTAGGACTTTCAACAATTCAAATCATGCCCAGAAAAAAGAAGAAAAAGCTTAGTTGCAGGAGGACTATGGGGCAGAAAAAAGGATCGCAGAGGAGGGGCGCCTATAGAAATAGAAAGTACGCCTTTGATAGTAGGGACCTCTAAGAGTGCTCTGGGGTTTACTTCAGGGGAGCAGACGCTTGACATCCTAGAGGAACCAGAATCCCTGGACTCCTGGAGAAGGAGTGCTGATTGGGGGGGAAGGCGGACCCACTAGTGTTTATTTGCACATTTAATTGTAGTATAGAGCATGTGCTATCATATCAGATACTTTTTGGAGCTACCAGCAGAGTTTGTAAGTAGAAAAATGTAGGCAAATAAGAATGAACTCGAGGAAGCACGCACTGTAGACTTTAATAGTAGTAGACGATCTCCTTAGCTTGTACTGTGTGCCAGCCCCATCCTGCGTATTTAACACACATTATGTCGTGTAGTTCTTAGTACTGCTCCCATTTTACAGATGCAGTAACTTAAACTTGAAAAGGTTAAGTGATCTGCCCAGTGGGTATGTGATGCTTCTCAAACAGGAGTGTCACAATGTCCTGGAGATTTGTTGAAAAGATTCTGATTGTGGAGGGCCGGGGTGGGGACTAAAGCTCTACATCCCTGCCAGGGCATCCGGCTCACGAGGGGGAGCCCCGGTTACTATGTGGACTGAGCTCCACAACCTTGCAAAGTGGATCCAAATCTCAGAGCAGCAGGCTCCCTCGAACACAAAACATAGCAGCCAGACAGCAGACTCGCACCTGTGGTGGGCGAGACACGACATTTGGAGTCCTGCGTGTGTTATCGCCACCACCTCCAAGCTAGTAAGTTTGGGCAAATTGTGGCCTTCTTCCAACCCTTAATTTCCTCCCTGTTAAATGGGGATCATGAAGTTTTTTAAAAGCCACTCAATCTGTGGGACTCCCGCGAGGATTACATGAGCCGGCCCTGGGGAGCAGTTACTTTGCTGTCACCACAGCTGGGCTCGCAGGCCAGTGGAAAGTGCAGACGCCTGCCTGCCCTGACCACGGCAGTACCCAGTCTGCAAAACGGCTGCTACGCTGGCACGTTCATGTTTTCAATGAAGTGTGACTTACAAAAGCAAAGCACAAGCTATGCAGTGAACGATCAAGGCGAACACACCTGTGGCCTAGTCTAGGTCAAGAAGCAGCATGGCCAGAAAGTCGCCTTCAGGCCTCTCTGCTGTATTTCCGCCCTCTCCTGAGATGCCAGTGGCCTGAACTGTAGCGGTACAGGTCAGTTTGCCTGCTTTACAGCTTTGTGTAAATGGAGTCGGGCTGCCTGCTCTTTATGTGTCTGGCTTCTTTCCCTCAGCATAATGGTTGTGAGATTCTCTATGCTGTCGTGCGAGATGGTAGTTGGTTCACGGTAGATAATGTGTAGTTACATATTTCTCTGTCCTGTGGGTGCATATTGGCGCCGTCCCCGTTGGTGGGGCTGTTTGCAGTAGTGCGCTATTAGGAGCTTGTGCGTGACTTTTGGGGGGGGGGGTCCTTTAGTCAGAAGAACTTGGGCCTCTTTTGCGAGTGTCTTGAGGTCCTACATCCCGGTTAATACACAGTGGGGTTGCAGTAGCACAGCATGCGTGTTCAGCGTTCATAGATAACACTAATGAATAACATCAGAGGGATTGAACCCCTTCATGTTTACTCCAAACTTGTGCTCAAATTTTTGTTTGAGAATTCACAGAAACTAAGCTTTCAACTCAAAACAAGGGTGTCGCTGGACTAGAGTTTTCAGAATGGTTTCCTCTGTGCCAGAGGCTTGGAAAGTTAAAACTGAACCTGCTGTCTCTCGTTTATTCACAGTGTCTAAATTCTTCAGCAGAGTTTCTTAGCATCTGGATTTCTGTATCAGAATCTTGCACTTTTTTTGTTAGCTTAATTGGACGCTTTAGGTTTTGTTGCTGTCCTGCTTTCCCTGTTGGGTTTTCGGTTTTAATGTTCCTGACGTGCGTATGTGTGTATTACCTAGTAGCTCACAGTCAGCGTCTGGGTAGACCTGTTGGTCTTTATACCCAAGCTTCCTCCCTCTTAGCTCTCTATGTAGATGATTATACAGTGTGAAAGTAATGACTTTTTCTTCCTTGTTAAAAGTTTTAATGTCTCGTTTTCTTTCTCGTTATGATGGTGTCTTGGTTACTTTTCTCTCGTTGCTGGGACAAAATACCTGACGCCCAAAATTAAGGAAGGAAAGGTTTATTTTGCTTACAGTTTGTGGAGGTTTCAGTCCAGACTTGGCAGATTACAAGGCAGAGTGGCACATGGCAGAGAGCTACAGCTCAGGGTGGCAGAACACAGCTAAGCAACAAGCACACACCAGGGCAGAATGGGGGAGGAATGGCCTCAAGCACCCTTTTCCTCTCCCTTACATATGCAAACTATCCACCCCGGGCCGGTGCAGCTCTCACACCCCTAATCAATCAAACTTTACAAGCCTGCCCCATGGCCGCGTGAGGCTTTGGGGGGACACCCAGACATAAACCATAACAGATGGTCAGAGGGCGTCTCCAGAACGACACGGGTGGTAGTGGGCATTCTGGTCTTTCCCCCGACGTTAGTACAAGTGTTCCTGAAATTTCATCTTGGTGGTTGCTGTATTTCCTGTAGCAGATTAAGGAACTTCCCTTCTATTCCCAACATTTGGTGGTTTTGTGACAAATATCTTTATTTTTGTTTTTCTGCTTTATTTCTTCTGTTTTCTATGTAGTAACAAAATTATTTTTTAACATCTTGAGCTAAGTACTTATTTATGTTCAATCTGTCTTTTTCAAAATATGTCACTCATAAGGATAATGAACTAAGCCAAACTCCAAAGTCTGAATACTGTATGATTGCATACTGCCCCATAGTGCTTATGGTGTGATATCATTTATGTGACATTCTGGTAAAGAGAACTATAAATAGGGACCAAAAAATTGACCGGAGGTTGCCTGAGGGAGGAAAGACGGATTTCTTGCAGGGGGCATTAGTGGAATTTTTGTTGTGCTGGAGGTGTTTTTTTGCCTAGTTTGTGCTGATGGTTACATGACTGTAAAAAGATATAGAACAGCACAATAAAAAGGACAGATTTTACGGTATGTAAGATTTACTTGTGTGTGATAACAGTACAGAAATCTAGTGGATTCAGAAATAGAGGTAAAGCAATTCTATGTTTAAGAGCAACATTATTTGTAAAAGATTATTTTCCATAAGGCCTGATTTACATAAATCCAGTTCATTATATTTGCTGTAACAGGGTTGCAGTGGATGACCTTATATTACATCCTTTGGGACACATGCAGCTGTGTCTGAAATAAATTCCAGGATCAAAATTCCCGACAAGAGAGTAAATATATTGTAATCTGAGTCAGTGTTTCCATTGCCCTCGGCAGAGGCATTACTGTTTTGTTCTTGGACGGAAAGCTACCAAAAGGGATTTGTGTTAACTCTTTGTTGTTATTAAATTATCTTAAATTAGAAATATACCTTGGTATTTTGCTCCTAAATATGTCAGTGTATGACTTTATATAGGAAACTTAAAGTGGTTTTTAACAGCTTTATTATTGTATTTTACAGAATTGCAGAATTACTTTATGTGCTCAGTTCAGTGATATTTGCTTAATTTAGAGTTGAGCTATCACTGACAAATTGTAAAATATTATCATCGTATATTTCTTCATGCCTGTTTGTCATAAATTCCTGATCCTATACCTAGGCAACCACGAACCTGTTCATAGGTTGTTCCCTTCCTGAATATTTTATTTAAAAGAAATCATGCAGTGTGTGGTCTTTGGCATCTGAATTCTTTTGCTTAGCATGTTCATAAACATTACGAATTCTTCCACTCATCATTTGTTGTAGGGTGTATTAGTACTTTCTTCCCTTCTTATAGCAGACTGGTGTACCACTGTGTAGCTAAAGCACATTTTCTTTATCCGGAAAATATTCTTTTGTAACCGGTTGACAGTATCACACTTAACAACATTAATAACGCTGCATGTCACCTAATGCTTAGGTCTTCAGATTTCCCCAGGATCCAGGCCACTGCCACCCACTGCACTGCGTGCGTCCCTCGACCTTTTAATCGAGGGTCTTCCCTATTTTGCAGCACTGCTCCCTGAAACCACCATGCTCACTGCCTCGGAAACTCCGCCTTCTGGATTTGCTTGATTGCTTCCTGGCATTGCTTAGCGTGCCCTTTTATCTGTATTTCTTGTAAACTTGGTAAGAGTTCAGTTAAACATTTTGGCTAGGATGGTCAGAGGTGGTATTTCATACTTCGTATTGTGTCTCATTAGAAGGCACATAATGTGTGTTTTTCCACCACTTACATTGTTACAGATGCTCGCTGGGCTCGCTAGTCACACCCTCGTCCTCCAGTGTAAGGTTTATATTTTTTCAGTCCTCGCAACCAGACAGTCATCTTTTAAGTATTCCTTTGGCACCATACGGATGTGCAGCTTCCCTCCAGCCTTCCTTTAGATGATCAAACCAGGGATGGATAATCAGTGCTTGAATCAATAATGTCACAAAATGAGTGTCTTTCTGTCATTCCATCTACATTTATAATTGATACTTTAAATTAGAGCTTTTCCTTTCCAACTAGAATGATTTGATTTAACTGCAGATAATGAAAAAGAAACACTTGTGTCCCGCTTTCCCAGTAACTCTCAGGGGCTGCCTCATGCTGTGAGTGTTCAGTTGCAGAGTTTTACAAAATAAAGTTTGATCTCCTTAAATTCATGGGTTAAACAGAAGTGTGTGTGTGTGTGTGTGTGTGTGTGTGTCCGTGTGTGTGTGTGTCTGTGTGTGTGTGTGAATATTTTGAGTTTCAAAAAAGAGAAAGGTTTTTGTTTTTCTCTTTTTTTTCCAGCGGTGGGGAGCAAACTCAAGGCCTCGTTCTGCTGAGCAGGTGTTCGGCTCTGAGCCACATCCCTATGCTGTAAGCGTTTTTAAATGTTTTCAGTTTCCTAAGTTGATATATAATCATATTGTGGGTAAAGAATGTAACCTGTGTTAAACTAGGTTTTTAGAACTGAATTGTCTGTGTAACAGTAGCAGTGTTTAGACAGATACTACAGACAGCCTTAAAACTGCATGTTGATCCCTCACTTACCTGTGAGGGATTGGTTCTAGGACACGTGCTGAAACCAAAGTCCTCTGATGCTCAAATCCATGTATAAATTATTATTATTATTATTGGTCTTCTTGAGACAGGGTCTTGCTATGCAGTTCAGGCTGCCCTTGAGCTCACTTTGTAGCCCAGGCTGGTCTCGAACTTGCAGCGATCCTCCTGTCTCAGCCTCCCGAGTGCTGAGATTATAGGCATGTGCCACCATGCCTGGCCCATGTATAAATTGTACAGTGTTTGTATGTAACCTATATACTTACCTCTAAATTACCTACAATACCTAATACAGCATTGCTGGGTGTGCTGGCGCACCCCTGTAATCAATCCCCACACTCTGGAGGCTGAGGCAGGAGAATCACTATAAGGTCAAGGGCTGCCTGGGCTACATAAGTGAGTTCAAGGCGAGCTTGCAGTACATAGCAAGACCCTGTCACAAAAAAACAAAAGCAAAAAACCCTAATGCAAAGTAAAGAGTTGTTTTACTCTGCTGTTAGAGAATAAGAACAAGTCTGTATATTTTCAGTACAGACACACTTTTTCCTGATGTTTTCTGTCTATGTTTGGTTGAGTCTATGCACAGGGAACCCGTGGATATGGAGGGCCAACTCGCTCCTTTATGGGATGAAAAGCAGTGAATGTAAGTTAGGTAATTACGATTCTGTGTGGTGGATCTGACAGATTCAGGTTCTTGTGTACAGTGAGCCAAGAACTGCAAATGTGTATCTAATGGTAAAGGCAAAGGCAGCTACATTTATCGAAGATGGCAGGAAGATGTGCTCAGAGCGGTTCTGTGCCGATGGAAACAGAAAGATGGCATGAACTGGTGTTGGGGTGACTGGAAGATAAAAGGCACAGAGGCGAACCCCACATCCAGATCTTCAAAGGTGTACACCTCCGCCCGGTGCCTCTCACTGGGTCTCCGGACAAGATTAAGAGGAATGACGGACAGGGTGCTGAGCCGTCATCTCAGGGGCTTTCAGCTTGCACATCTGTCCCGGAGTCCACGCTGATTAAGTTACATACGTAATGAAGAAGGATAAGCTTGAGGCATTTCTAGGTAAATGGTCGCACCTTGAGACAGTACTCTTAAGTGAAATAAATTGCCCACACATCCATAAATACCACATTATTTCTCTGGTGTGAGAAACCAAAAGTGTAAATAAGGACCAAAATGTGTAATAGGTGCTGTGAAATAGGAGGAAAATGTTCAAGTGGGGAAGCGGAAAAGGGAGAGGGAAGGGGCAGAGGGAAGAAGGGAGAAGTTAAAAAAGTGAGAAAAGGAGGGGAGGTGCAAGAGAATGCCCGTAGGAATGCCTTTCCCCCTACACATACTGTGTCGTGTCACTTTCCAGCTTGCCAGTTGGAGATTTTATTAGCGTATTTCTGTGTGTGTGTTTCAACATTGCGTTAGTTGGCTTTCTGTTACTGACAAAACACTAAAATAATAAAGTTTTAAGGAGAAAGGGTTTATTTTGGCCCACGGTTTCAGAGGGTTCAGTCTGTGGTCAATCAACTCTGCTGCTTTTGGGCCTTTGGTGAGGCAGAACATCATGGTGGGAGTGCGTGACAGAGGGGGCCTGTTTACCTCAGGGTGGCTGGGAAACACGGAGACAGGAAGGGGCGGGATCCCAGTGTCCCTTTGAGGGACATGCTCCCAGCGACCTAAGTAAGTTCCTCTCACTAGGTTCCCATCTACCAAAGTTCCCATTTACTAGAGCAGTGATGGCAAACCTTTTAGAGATGAGTGTCCAAACTACATCCCCAAGCCCACTTACTTACAGCAAAGAATCAACACTACAGTTAAACCTGAACACTGAGGTTTTAGTTTAGAAAAAACACCTCACACATTAACATCTTTTATCTTAAAAGAAAAGCGAATAACACGTGTGCTGGAGGTTTGCTACCATTGGGCTAGCGGTTCTGCTCCTTCCCAAGAGTGCCATGGCTGGGAACCAAGCCCACAAGACGTTGGTCTTCAGGGTACACTCAGGAGCCAGACTAACAGACAGCTTCCCTTGTTCCAATGGCCGTTTATATTCTTTTGAGGGTTGCTTTTTTGGTCATTTATTCTCTTTCAGTGTTTATCTTAATCGTAAGGACTGGTTTTTAAATTGGGCTTATAAATTCTTTGTCATAAATGTATTTTTCCTCCAGTATGTTCTGATATTTTTCAGTTTTGTTTGCATCTGTTTGCTCTTTTCAACTTAGAAGTTTTTGAAGTATATTCTCAAATTTTCCTTATGCTTTCTAGGTGGTTTGATTACAGTAGAGTGAGTTGGAAGGTTTTCCCTCGTCAAGATCATTGACATGTTCATCCGCACTCTCGGAGTGTTTCTGCGTAGTAATCTTCCCTCTATGATCTTTAGTCCCTGTGGACTATTTTTTGGTGTAAGGAGCGACATATTTTGGTACCTCCCTGTTTCTTACACCTGCCTCTGGTCTTTAAACCTGACTGGCTAATGGAAAGTGCTTGCTGCTTACCAGTTTATTAATGAGTCTTGGTCATTGTGAGTGTTGGGAGGGGCGGGAGTGGGTCGGCTGTTATTTAGCATCTGCGTGAGGGGCCTTCCTTCTCTGAGCGTGCATGGAGCAGAGAGCTCCAGAGAGCGCCTCCCAGCGGAAGGTCTCTGGGTAATTTCCTTTCCCACTTCTTCACTGTGAGTGGTTTGTTTCTCCCCCAGTGCTGGGGATCAAATCTAGGACCTTATGCAGTCTACCACAGAGCTGCGTCCACGGCCCTTACTTATTTTCAATCGTTAGTCTGTACTGTTCACCAGTGCGAAGTGCCCGTTTCCATGAGGATGCCGTAAACTCTGACTTTTGTGGTCAAGAAGTATTTTTTGTAACTTTTTATTTCAACAAACGTTCTTCGCTCGTAAAGGAATGGGGCGTGAGGAGTCTTTTTCCTTCCCCTTTGACACCTAGTCCCACGCATACGTAAATGCTGTTAATTTTTTAAATATTTTTCAGAAATCCTAAGCATCATTTTTGATAAGTACATACTGCTGAGTGTTCATCTGGTGAAACTGAAGATCTTTCAGAAGAAATAAATCTAGAAGGTAAGAAACAGACATATCTATCTATGTGGTTTTGAAGCATGCTTTTCTTCAGGTAGTAAGAAAGGGAAGAGGCTGGACCGACCTCCACTGAGTCCTTGTGAGGACAGGAATTGCGTGTGAAGCTTCGGTGTCCTTGCCCTCTGCTGCGGGCCTCTCCATCTTGCACTTTGACCTGGGAGAAAAGTTGACCTCGCCAACGAGGTCGTGGACTACAAGTGTAGAGGGAAGACACATATACTTGGGACCAGTTGGAGTTCGCTTAAACATTCCATGATAGCGGTGCAATTTGTCATCACTAGATCTTGGAAACAACCCAAATGCTCATCAACTGAGGAGTGGAGAAAAGGGGGTATTTTTATACCATGGAGTATTACTCAACTATAAAAAAAGATAAACTTGAGGCTTTTATAGGTAAATGGATGCAACTAGAGACCATACTCATAAGTGAAATAAGTCAGACCCACATGTGTAAACATCATATTGTCTCCCTAGTGTAGGAACCTGAAAGAGTAAATAAAATACGAAAGGTACAATAGATGTTGTGAAAGGGAAAGGGACCATTCAAAGAGAAGGAACAACTGGGATGAGGAAAAGGAGAAGAGAAAGAAAGAAAGAGAAAGAAGAGAAAAATATGTACATAAACAGGATAGCTGGGAAAATTATACTGCTGATTTCTACTGGTCTATTGAAAGGAGCAGCTAATGCTTAAATTGTTTTCTTTTTAATTTCTTGACCAGTTTTGCACGCTTACGTGTGGTAATCTGAACAACTAATGTGAAGACAACAATGGACAATATAACAGCCATTGCTGAATTCTTACCATCTTGTTCAGTGAAATTTTGTACAGTTTCTGATGTTTTTTAAAATTATTTTTTATTCTCTTTAAAATAAAAAAAATGACTACAGAAACCATTGAGGACAGAAAAGATTATTATGGCCCAAAGCAAGCAGAGTAGGGGACGTGGCTGGATGCAGAGGGCAGGGCGTCTCGGCCTGGCCATGTTCATAGGTATTGGAAGGCAGAAGAGCTGCGTGTCCAGAGACCCGAAATTGACCAGAGTAGACAAGCCTTCACGTCGTGACGCTCATGCTCATCCCCCTCAGCAAATGCTGCATCCCCAGGAGCCCTGACGACTGCGAACGAAGCCTTCCCAGCGCCCCCAGACGAAGCTCCCCGGCTCTTGATGGAGCCAGTCTGTGCTGCATTCTCATGCCTGTGCGTCGGTCGCCTTGGGGTTCTTTTCTTCCCATCTTCTACGTCCTCTGGCATCGTTAGTGCCAGGCGCAGCCTGTTGATGCAGAAGATGGGAGTGAACGTTCATGAGTGCCCTCACGTCACCCTGAGGCCCAGGAGGCCCTGGGGATGGGGAGCGGAGCTGACGCCTGGTTGCTCCTGCCGTCTCCGTGCCCCGGCTCGCATGGCCGTGCGTCCTCATTGCAGTTGCAGGGTTGTGGTGGAAACAAGGGTCTTCTGGAAAGTTCGTCCCTTGTGTGGAGGGCGTTGGGCTTGGTGTCTGACTTCTCAATAGAGCAGGAGGAGAAACCTGTGAGAATTCAGGACTAAGGATGGGCCTTTAACTTACGCACTTGCTACCCAGCCTGAACACAGCTCAGCCAGTGAGGTGAAAGGGGCCTGGGGTGATTTGGGGGCAGGAAAGCTGTTTCATAGTCTGCGCATTTTAAAGCTCAGGGCTTGGTTATTCTTCCTGGTTTCTGGAAGGCTCACCTCGCGGGTGAAGCCTTCACCTCTATCTTTTTTTTAAGCCTAGGCTTCGGGAAGTTGGCCAGGATGGCCGTGAAGAACTTGGGACTCTTTTTCCTCCGCCTCCCTTACAGGCTGTGCCACCACACCTGGCTCCACTTTCGTTTTATCTCAGCAGCCGTCATGAGTAATTATCGCCAGGGATTTTTTTTTTTTCCTGATTTGCTAGACTCAGATCCACAGTCGAGAAAGTCACTTGGTTTATTTGCACGTGTTGCTAAGCTCACCCTTACCTATCTCTTTTGTTCTTCTAGGTGTCTAGGGAAAAACTGTACTTCATAATAAAGTTATTTGTTTAGGATGCAAAGCTGTTTGGTTCAAAATACAGGATATAGCTTATCCTTTGTCTTGATACGAAAAGCTAAAATCCACTAGTTGTTGATACCCGTTTGCTTACAGTTAAATCAGGACTTCTGGTTTTGCTTTGGAGGCTTTGTGCTATTCTTTCTCCGGAGTAATAATCGTTGTAACTGAAAGCGTGTTTGGGCGGTAGGCTCTAACCGGATCTCCCGTAAACCTTCCAGAACCTGTGCCTGCCGGCCTTCTCAGCCGCTGTGGATGGCCCCGGCCCTCCTGACTGCCCTTCCCGGTAGGATGTCCCTGAGGTCCCTGAAGTGGAGCCTCTTGCTGCTGTCGCTGCTGAGCTTCCTGGTGATGTGGTACCTCAGCCTTCCGCACTACAATGTGATCGAGCGCGTGAACTTGATGTACTTCTATGAGTACGAGCCACTTTACAGACAAGACTTCCGCTTCACGCTGCGAGAGCATTCAAACTGCTCGCATCAGAACCCGTTCCTGGTCATCCTTGTGACTTCACACCCCTCAGATGTGAAAGCCAGACAGGCCGTTCGGGTCACCTGGGGAGAGAAGAAGTCTTGGTGGGGGTACGAGGTGCTTACATTTTTCTTACTAGGCCAGCAGTCTGCAAGGGAGGACAGGATGTTGGCCTTGTCCTTGGAGGACGAGCACCTTCTCTATGGGGACATCATCCGGCAGGATTTTTTAGACACGTATAATAACCTGACCTTGAAAACCATTATGGCATTCAGGTGGGTAACTGAGTTTTGCCCCAATGCCAAGTACGTCATGAAGACGGACACGGATGTTTTTATCAATACTGGTAATTTAGTGAAGTATCTTTTAAACTTAAACCACTCAGAGAAGTTTTTCACAGGGTATCCTCTAATTGATAATTATTCTTACAGAGGATTTTACCAAAAAGCGCACATTTCCTACCAGGAGTACCCTTTCAAGGTGTTCCCTCCCTACTGCAGCGGCTTGGGCTACATAATGTCCCGCGACTTGGTGCCGAGGATCTACGAGATGATGAGTCATGTGAAGCCCATCAAGTTCGAAGATGTGTATGTTGGGATCTGTTTGAATTTGCTGAAAGTGGACATTCATATTCCGGAAGATACAAACCTTTTCTTTTTGTACAGAATCCATTTGGATGTCTGTCAGCTCAGACGTGTGATTGCCGCCCATGGGTTTTCCTCTAAGGAGATCATCACCTTTTGGCAGGTTATGCTAAGAAACACCACGTGCCACTACTAACCGGCCACCGTACCGGAAGCCTGGTGAAGGGCAGCGTGCTTCCTGGGTGTCAGAGCCGGCGCTGGGGAAAGCTGGAAAGGTCGGTGTGCTGGTTCACACCGCGGTGAGACACGGAGACGCGAGGGCCACACTGCGCTTGGGATTTATTTTGATAAAATTCAAGTCAGATCTTTTAAGATGGTGTTCGGCAGAATGAAACATTTATAAAAGAGTCAGAGGTATTTGTTCATAAAATTAATAAGACCAAACAATTTGAACATGTCATTCTGTAGACTAGGATTTCCTAAAAGGGTTTCCCTGAATTATAAGCTCATTAATGTGTGACAACAAAGCATTGTGGCGTTCTATTTATTGGACAGTCTAAGAGTCTAGTGTGTATCCCACATGGATTACCAGTTTTTAAAAAATACGTAGTTCTGTGTAAAGAAACTTCACTGAAGTTATACTGAACAAAATTTCACCTGTTTTTTGCACTCAGAAGGTACTTCCTGATGTCCAGCATTTCAGAGTTCTCAATTATTATTTAATACTACAGACTTCCTGGGTGTTTAAATGCTGTGGGGGTTTCAGTCCTGTGTAAATGGAATCCTGAATCACTTCTTACATTTGAACCTCCCTGCAGTTACTCCATGTATCATTTTATTACTGGGATTCCTTTAATGTGAAACCGTAGGTCATTCTTGAGTATTAATCTCTTGAATGTGTTACATATTCTCCTGTGGTAATACAGACAAAAACTGAAGCAGAAGCATCTGAGTTGCTGTCGTCTTGTGTTTGAAAATGCAGTCCCGTGTTTTTAGATGTCATTTGTCTGCCTTGGCTTTCCACGCAAAACTCAGGAGGGGTGCGGAGTGCCAGGCAGCGCGTTTCCTTTTGGAAAAGACTTCGACGTGCAAATGAAGGCCAAGAACCTGATGGCTAGAAAGTTACGGAAAGAGTCCCATTCCCGAGTTTGCGTTGGAAAAACTGAACGAAAAGTTGCATTGCTGATCTGCCCTGTGTATCTCCTCACTAACAGTCAATTTGTGAATAAAGAGGAAAAAAGAAAAAGACAGTGGTGGCTGCCGTTACTTGTCGTCAAGAGGAAAGGCCTGACGCGTAGTCAGACCTGACTTAAGTCTTGCATGTTTTCATGGGAGGGGCGCCGTATTCTTCGTTGGGCCTGCCACTCTGGGGTCAAAGGGGACGGGCCGTCCCACGATCCTGGGATTATCCAGCTTTCTGTTAAAGTTGGTGAGCTCCTTTTTTCTTAGTTATATACAAGCAAAAGGTCAGATCTTTTTTGTAGGAAATACCAGCTTGAAAGTATGTGATCAGCTCTCGTACTAGTCATATTTATAATTCCATGTGAAAAACCAAACTGCAGTTCCAAGCACAGTACCATGATGAGGGCCCAGCACGGTGGTGCATGCCTGTCACCGCAGCAGTTGGGAGGCTGAGACAGGGTGATTAGTATGAGTTGGAGACCAGCGTGGGCTACGTAGTGAGTTCAGGATCACACTGAACTACAGAGTGAGAGCCTATTTCAAAAAGCAAATCAACAAAATAATCACAAAGAGTTAAGAAATTTTAATAAAATTATTTTTTAAAAACTACTATAATGTGTGGGCTCTATAACAAGGCTGTTTATGTTTCTTTGGGCTCAGACCTGACTCCAGTTATAACAAAAATCAATTATTGAAATACTCTATGGAGTCCACCTATGCCCTGGCTAATCCCTGTCCTCAGAGGTCACTTTCTTTAAGACTGATAGTAGCTATTTTTGTGGCATGACTAGGTTTGATCAGCTTTGCAGAAGGTTGTATTAATGTTTGGGATGCTAATTCAAAAGATTTTTCAGAGAAATAAAAATAAAAATTAATTTCACTCTAAGACCCAGAATAACCAGACTCAAAGTTTATAAGGTTGTTCCTTTTAAACTAAAGAGTCCTTTTGAAACATCCCTAAAACGATTATGGAAAACAGGTAGGTCATTTCGTTGTTGATTTTTATTGCATGTCTCTTGCCCACTAAGACTTAATGTCCTTTATACCGGACTGCTCTGGGTATTTTTGTGAGTCAAAGACCGGCTGTCACTGGGACCCCTTCACACTCTCCCTCAGCTCCCTGATGACCCCGTATCTGGTTACTGTGGGAACAGACTTGCAGGAGTCCATCCAGATAGGCAGCATGTCCTGGTGTTTATAAAAGACAAAGGTTTTTTTTTTTGAACCTAAATTTATTTCAAATAAAAAATCAGGAGGCCTGTGTGTCGTGTGACCTGTGCTGTACATGGCGGGGTATTTCCCCTCATCAGTATCGAAAGAGCATAGGGTGCAGCCCTGTGTGCTGCGCTGCGGAGGTCCCCAAGCCACGGTAGAGAAGAGCCCAGGGCGGACGTGTGAGTCGTGCGCAGGGGCCTCTCCGTGTTGCCGGGGCTTCCCTCAGCGGGCGCCCTTCCTCCCGCGCTTCTCCTCCATGCAGCCCCTGCCAGTGTGCAGCAGTGTGAAGGAAATGGGAGAACAGATCACGAGCCAGGCTGGAGTGACGGAGCCCAGACAGATGCAGTTACCCTGAATGCCGTGCGTGACAGACGTCGCGTGGACTTCCCTAGCCACAGAAGGAAGAAGGTCATCAGTCAAAAAATCCACCAGTACATTGCAGGGCCTTGGGCCCCCGGGCTACAGCAAACATCGGGAATCCTTTCTGTGGGTTTCAGCAGTGACAGCACCCTTAGCTTTACAGGGTTCGTGGAGGCTGGATAGAGGTCCGCTGGGCGTGTGGTAAATTCTGGCTCCGGGAAACAGAGTCACAGTCATGCGGCTGTGCCATCCATGACGAGGGGGAAAGCAGGGGCTGAGGAAGGGACTGAGACGGCCCGAGACGATTTTGGCTCTCCGCCTTCAACATCCCGTCTCTGCCGTTGTGCTGCTCAGCCCCGATCAAGCAGTTTCTTCAGACAGCTTCAGCTGCAGTTTCATACAACCCACTTCTTTCTTAGTTCCTAAAGTTTCACTGACCGTTGTGTATGGCTTTTAGATCTTCATGTAGTTTGAAAACAGTGAAAGGATTTTAAGATTTCCAAATTCCATCCCTGACTTTGCCGCTCCCAGAGGGCTGGTCTCAAAAGGTGTGTTCTCTTGTGCACCTTCGTGCAGTCCTCACCCACCCTGCCTCTGAGCAAGCTGCTAGAGTCAGTTCAGTGTGACAGAAGACGTGCATGGCTCTTAAGTCCTGGTCAGAAGAGCCTTGCAGCTTCTGTCTCACTTTGCTCCCAAAGAGCGTGCGCTTCTGTCCTGAGACCCTGCCAGGAGGAGCGAGGCCAGCTCCTGGGGGTGGACATGCGGGGAAGGGGCCAGCTGGCTCCGCACCGCTCCTCCCCAGGTGGAGAACACATTTCGGAGCCTGCAGGGAACTTCATTAACTCACAGAACCTTAAGAAATCATTAAGTTTTGCTTTATGCTGTCCAGGTTTGGGATGGTGTGTCAGTCACAGATAAAATACTTCTCACCAAGTAAATTTCCCATTGGCCGGGGCTTTGCGCAAGTCCTGGGCAAAGTCTCCCTTTTTAGTCCTGTTTTCCTCATTGTGACTGAATACCTGAGAAGCTCAACTCAGAGGAGGAAACGTTTGTTCGGCTTCACAGTTTCAGAGGCTTCAGGCCGTGGTCAGCCTGCTGCCCTGCTTTCAAGCCCGTGTCAAGGCAGAAATCACGGTGGGAGGGCCCGGCTCAGCTCACGGCCGCCGGAAAACAGGGCGGGTGAGAGCCGCAGAGACAGGGCCCGGGCCGAGAGAATTTCAGAGGCAGCCGGCGGGGACCGCTCCCTCCCGGTGGGCCCAAACCCCAGCTACGAATTCGTCGGTGCATTATTGTATTCACGAGCTTAGCACTGTCACGACCCCCCGCCGCTCTGGGCCCCACTTTGGGATGTCACCGCATGGAGGGCCGGGCCCTCAGTACGTGCATGGCGGCGGATCCCTTCCCAGTGGAACCGCATTCCTGTCCTCACGTCTGGCCGCGTCTGGTTTCTCGTCCGCGCTTCGCCCTGCTGGAGGCTGCAACGAGTAGCTTCCAAGGCGTCTCTCGGTGCAGCCCGCTTTCTCTCTTTCCAGGGGGTGGAGGCGAGTGGTTCTTACATCCCCGAAAGAGCCCGCGCACGGCATTTCCCGTGCAGGCGGGAGGTTGTCAAGGCGGACGCTCGGTGTGAAAGGCTGCGGAAACTTCCAATGCCTGTCTCTCTTGCTGGCGCACAAGCAGGGTCTCTCTTGCGGGTACACGTGCGGGAGCTGGTGGGAAAGGCAGGGTGGAAGCACCCCAAAGGGTGAACAGGCCCTGCGCTCTGAAGACCTTTTCCGAGAGGAGGAGCGCGAAGGGAGAGGGATGAGGGTGTCGCGGGGAGGCCGGGCAGCACGTCCGCGGCCGAGCCCGCCGCTGCGCCGGCCCGCGCCCTCCCGGTCCTCCGCGGCTGAGCGCCGCGCCTCGCTCCGCGCTCACGAGCCTCGCGCTCCTCCCCCTTCAGCGTGCGCCGGCCCGAGCGTGCGGCCCGGGCGGTGGCTGCGGCAGGGCTCTGCTTACGGGTGTTCTCCCGATAGAAAGGACCAAGGATAAACCCCTTTCCTCTCGGGCCAGTGCCAGGACCCGCAGCGCCCCGCGGACCTTCCAGGGACGGGTCTGAGGGTCAGACGGCGTGCAGCGGGGCGCCAGGGCTCAGCGGGGCGGAGAGGCCAGACACCGAACCAACCGGAGAGCACACGCTGCCGTCGCCGCGGATGCGAAGCGCCCCGCGCGGGGAGCCCGCGGGCAGCTCCCGCGGACGGCAGCTTCCCCCGCGGG